TGACTATTGCATTTAATCACAAGCAATAGGAGTAATGTAATACGGCATGATTTATGGTTTAGCCTTGCAAGAATACGAGGGGCAGAAATCTTGTGGCTCCAACTTCTCAATAAACACATAGGAGTCCTTATATAGTCGAACTAGAGCAAGTCAGGAAATTACACACTGACTAGCAAGTATAGATGCAACAAACTCAATTGTTAGATGAACTACATAAAATAGAGGAGGAGATTAATGAAAAGAAGGTTGCTTCAACTGAGGAGACTAATTCTAAGTAGATGTTGTGTCCTTATTTTTGGATATCTACTATTACTACGGGAAAACACGCGATTACCGTCAGATTTTCCGGCGGAATTTTTTGCGTCGTAATGAATGACGCAGGTAACGGCGAAATGCTCCTGAATCTTGTGACGAAAAAATTACTAAGCATTTGCCGATGCATAATATGATGGAAATTATCCGGCGTCGTCATGCGACGGTAATGGCGTCGGTAAAATGAGCTCTGAACCGATTCCGTCGCATGTTGCAGCGGAAACATACCGGCGAACATTACCGACGGAACGTCCGCCGGCTTATTTAAACTCAACGAGTTATTTCCGTCACACGTTACGATGGATCTTATTTCCATCGGATGCTCCGCCGGAACGTCCGCCGGTGAAAGCCCTATTTTTCAAACCCGAGCCCCTCTGGCCGCTCATTCATTTCCTTTCCTTCTCTCACCTAGCGTGTTTCGCCCGTCGCCATCCGTCGCTCGCTGTGGACTGACGTTGCCAACGGTCACCGGACTTCACCGTCGATGGTCACCGGACTTCGCCGAGCATCCTTTCCTCTTCGCCGACGGAACGGAAGGTATTTTGTTTCGTTTCCTATTTCGGTTGGGTTACATCAAGGATCAGTCTTAAGTCCATATCTTTTTGCTTTAGTCATGGATGTTCTCACTAGACATTTGCTAGAGGATGTACCTTGGTGCATGCTTTTTGTTGAAGATATTCTTCTTGTTGATAAAACTAGATAGGGAGTTGAAGGAAAACTTGAACTATGGAAGTCAACCTTAGAGTCTAAAGGTATCCATTTGAGTAGATCTAAAACCAAATATATTGAGTGTAATTTTAGTACTAATAGATATAGTGGAGGGATTGTGACTTTGAGCGATCAAGTCATTAAAAAGAGTATATGTTTTATATATCTCGAATCTATTGTTCAAAACGATGGTGAAATAGATGTGGATATTATCTAAAATGGATTATATGAAGTGCAATTGTGACTTTTGGTTATCAAATCATTAATAAGAGTACACATTTTAGATATTTTTGATCTATTGTTCAGAGTGATGGTGAAATAGATGGGGATATTATTAGTAAAATTCAAGTTGGATGGTGGAGGAATGCATCGGGCTTATTGTGTTATAGAAAATTCCCCCTCAAACTTAAGGGAAATTTCTATAAGTCGATACGCACGACTGCAAAGCTTTTTGGTGCCGAATGTTGGCCACTAAAAAAGAAGCATATATAATACTAAGTTAAATGTGGCAGAGATGACGATGCTTAGGTGGATGAGTGGCTTGACCCATAGAGATAGGATGTGAAATGAGCATATACATGAAAAGGTTGGAGTAGCTCCAGTGGAAGATAAGATTAGAGAAAGTCGCCTTAGATGGTTTGGTCATATGAATATCTATTAATGTCTT